AAGTAGCACAAAAAAGCTTTGTGCACCTTTAGAAATGCTCCACGTGTCACTGCAGTGCACAGGCTGCGGCAAACACACCGCACGTGACAATCCACACTCTGCCTGACTCCCAGGACAGCCCATGTGATGTGCAAAGTGCCATTCCCATGGGGCGCATCATTTGTCCCCAGGATCTTGAAGGACACAGATAGAGCTGTGCTTTGGCCGCCCGCGCCCCGCCCCCTGTTCCCGAGCTGGCTCCATGCTGGTGTCCAGAATGAGCCAGTTCACACTCCAGAGCCAGGCGGGGGGAGAATTGGCTCCCAAATCCAGTTGTGGGTCTCCCCCTGACCCCTAGGTGTATCTTCCAAGTCACATGACAGTCACAGGCAAACACCCCCAGCTCTGCTTGGAACTCAGGGAAGGATACTTCTGGGTAGACAGAAAGATTCTGTGGTGGGCATGGACTTGGCCATTGAAGACCCGAGAGGACATCTTGTCCACCCTCTCCAGGATGGGCCCTGTCTGTGCTCCCTGAAGCCAGAAGAAAAAGATTACAGCCTTAAAATCCGCAGGGATGGAGACTTCATGAGCTCCTTTGCACCTCGTTTCAGCATTTCTTGCCTGAGTCACGTATGTGGAAATCTTTGCTCATTTCTTACTAGGCTTCAGGAATTGGAATTCTTTGTCTCACAAATCCCAAAGAGCTGAACATGCCCCAAGCCCGTGAACAAGCTTTGAGCATCCGAAGGACAAAAACACAGCTGGCAAGTGTTCATGAGGCTCCAGGCTGCTCAGCCGGGACAAAAAGGAGCACTGCTGCCTTCTGGTGGTCAGACTGCAGAGCATCAAGGAGCCGCCCAAGGGAGCTAGGTGCCCCCCTTTGCTTTGTCTCTGGGACAGCAGCTTTGTCTTAGGTCAACGGAAGTCCTTTCACTGTTCCTGGAAAATGGCAAGTTTGTTCTTGCCTCAGGGCCTTAGACCTTGACGCTCCCTCTCCCTGGAATGTTCTTTCTCCAGCTCTCAGGTGGCAGCTGCCTTCTCATGATCTAGCCCTCCGACCAAATGCCACCTCCTCAGGGAAGCCCTCCTGGACCACTTTGTCTAAAATAGCAACTCATCCCAGCCTCTGTCACTCCATGCCATTACCCTGTTTCCCTTCATTCTTAGCACTTACCTGCTATTTGGAAATATCTGTCTAGAGTCTGTGTCCATTTCCTCTCTCCCTCACCAGATGTCGGCTCCAGGAGAGCAGGGTCCCTGTCTGTTTTGGTCGTCACTGGACCTCAGTGGATTGTACATAGTAGATATGCAGCAATTCTTGTGGAAGTAATAAATACATATTGACAACAGCAACTAGATTTAAACACAGCTTCTGGTCCTCAAAATCACCCTGTGATGCAGGGAAGGCACATAGCACCCCCACAGGACAGATGAACACATGGAGACTCAGAGGATTATGTGAGTTGCCTGAGCACCCAGCAAGGAGGAATGAGCCAGGGTCCCTCGTGGTTTCTCCCGTGCTCCATCAGTCCTCTACCTTGGAGGGAGGAGAGGGGATCTCAGGCACGTGAGCTCCTTCGAGGAGCTGAGACCAGCCATTTACTCCTTAGCCTGCTGGTGGAGGGAGGCTGAGCTGTGCCGCCGTCCAAAGCTCTGCTGGCAGTGGACGGGGTGTGAGGTGGGAGGGGGAGAGGAAGGTCTGTCCATAGGAGGTAACCAGACCAGTCAGCGGCCGGTCCGTCGCGGAGCTGTGCGTTCTGGAGCGGGAGTGCGTACTGGGAGGACGGGCAGCGGGAAAGCTGGAGCTCCTGGGTTTGGCTGTGACATACTGAGCTTCATCCAGATGCTCTCACTGTCCTCAGCCTGAGGCAGGGGCTGCCCTCTGACTCTGGGCCCAGCACCGGGGTCAAGGGCTCTGCTCCGGAGCCTGGGTCCCCTGCGCTGTGCTTGGGCAGGCAGTGGGGCTGGAGGGGGATGGTCATCTGTCCTGAACCCTGGGGTGACCAGGCCCGGGGCGGGCTCTGTTTCTGGGCACCCAGAGCAGGCGTCCGGAGATCAGCAGCATCTGCTCCGTGATGGGCCTGGTGAAAGCTTGATGGATTCTGTGAGGTGATTCTCTAAAATGCTCTGGTACTGGGGAAGGAAAGAGAGGCCAGCATTCATGTCCTGAGATGCAGAGAGCACCACCCGCCCTTCATCTCTTAATGGCCCTCAGAGCCCAGGCGCTGGTTTCCTTCCCATTGTACTTCTGGGAAACTGAGGCCCGGATGGGGAAGCCACTTGTGTACCCCAGCCTCCTTCTTCCCTGTGTCTCCCCTCCAGCCTCTTCCCAGGAGCCCAGAGCAGGTCAGTGTCTGATTAGTAGCCCAGGTCTCCTGTAACTTTCCATTCTGCAGAGGGGACAGCTGAGGTGTCATTTGGGCTCAGGCAGAGAGGTGGAGGCCACTCCTCATTTCTCCTGGAGACCTCTTCCCGCAAGTATCCCAGTACCCCCCAACCTTCTCCCCATCCTGTTCACCTCCCAGCCTCCCCTACTCGTGCATGGAAAAGCCAGTGGATCCCTCCGTCCTGGCCGTGCCCAGAGAGCCCTCCCTACAGTGGACTCATGTTTCTCCTGGGCCCCTTTGCTTCTCCAGCCTCTCTTGTCCCAGCAAGGGTCCAGAGGAAGCCCCTTCTCAGTCTGCCAAGTCTCTGCCCTCCCAGCTGGCTCCACTTGTCACCAAGAGCCTTCCCCCACCAGTTCAGGGGTTGCGATGGTTGGCAGGGAGGGGGCCTATCTTTAAGCAGATGGGTTCCTCAGGCTGAAAGGTTTCTTCTCAAGGGATCCTAACTCTTCACACTGCTCTGGCCTCCGCTAGTCTCTGAGCTCAATTGCATTCATGTTCCTCAATACTGTTGGCCTCACAGTGAGTGACGAATATTCACTCTATTTGTAAGGGGTTTGTGTTACATTGGTGTGGACCTGAGCAGGAGTGGAGCCTCCTGGGTGTCATGTAAAACTGTCCCTGGCAGTCCATCTCAAGCGTCCTTCTTGGGGACAACTTCCAGGGACAGGGGTGCTGCCTCCTCCTCTCTGATTTTATCTCCCCTGCAGCTCCCAGGCTCAGGCCAGACACCCAGCTGGTGAATATCCCCAAACCCTTAGTGCTCATGACCTGGAGCTCAGGAGGTGGTGCCCAGCCCGGCCTCCTGCACCCGATGATGGTGGTCCCCCAAATACATGAGAAGATCCCCCTACACCCATCACTCACTACCACCTCCAGTCTGAGCAGTAATTTACCCCATGGCACAGAGCTTGTGGTGCTGAACTTGGGGTCCAGTCCTTCCTCACAGAGTTGGTTTCTTGGAGATCCCCCATCTCTCACCCCCACCCTGGTAGGATCTTGGGACCAGCAGAGGCAGCACCGTCCGGGGTAGGTGTGAGAAACGTCCTCATTTGTTGCCTGGGCAAAACTTGAGGTTTTCATGGCCGTGTTGCCCTAATAACATCCGCACCCTCCCCAGGTCCAAGTCACCGCTGAGCTCTTTCCATTCATGACACCATTTTCACTCGATAATGTGGCAGCATTTTGTTCCTCAGATCTCCTGAAAAACCTCCAGGCCATAATTAGGTTTCCATGTCATTCTGATCTCCAGGCCCCAGGCCTCCTGACAACTTGTGCATCTAACCCTACAAGTAATGTAGGGTTGCAGCATTTCAGTGGGGGTGCAACTGTGGGAGTCTGTCCCTGTCCCCCCAGTCTGGCCACCTTGGTGACCTTGCCCTCCCCTTCCCTTCCCCTTCCCTCCCCTTCCTTTTCCCTCCCCTTTCTCTCCCCTTCCCCTCTCCTTCTGCTTCCCCTCCCCTTCCCCTTCCCCGCTTCCCTTCTTCCCCTTCCCCTTCCCTTACCCTTTCCTCCTTTCTTTCACAAGGTCTCACTCCTGTGGCCCAGGCTGGATGCAGTGGCACAATCACTGCTCACCATGGCCTGACTTCCCCAGGCTCAGGTGATCCTCCCATCTCAGCCTCCCAAAGTGGTTGGGAATATACGCATGTGCCACCACGCCCGGCTAGTTTTTATATTTTTAGTAGAGATGGGGTCTCAACATGTTGCCCAGGCTAGTCTCGAACTCATGGGCCCAAACAATCCATCTGCCCCCAGCAGATATCATCCCAAAATGCTGGGATTACAGGTGTGAACCACCATGCCCAGCCAGCATTGCTAACTTTCTAAGAGTAAAACCTCACCATCCCATATCTCTGAAAGCTGCTGGGTATCTCTTCTTCAATATTCCGGGCATCTTTAGTCATATTTTGGAATAATGAAACACCCTAACCCTTGAGTGTATCCAAATTGGTTACTAAAGTAACCTACCTACCTTCTCTCCTTTCAGAATGTTAACTGAGCACCCCCTCAACAGGTGCCTCACACGTTGCTCTTTTGGCTACAAGGCTCACTTGCAGAACTCAGACGTTTCCACCTGGTGTCTCAAGGAACTTGAATGCAGTGTGCTCACGTGGACTTCATTTCCCCGTTCTCGCCTGAAGCCCCTGCTTTCTCCTTTGTTCCCCGTCTTGTGTGGCTCATGGAATCCCTAACTAATCCGTTGTCCCTTCATTTTCCAAGCTAGAAACCTGGCCACCAACCGAAACTGCTCCTGCTCCTTTCTCCCTGCATTTGATCATCATCAACCCCTGATGTTTCGACCTCTAAAGTCTCTTTCATCCACCCCCATCTTGCCAGCTCTATCCTCTCACAGCTGGGCCACTGCGGTAGCCTCTTCATCACCACCCACGGTGCCCATCCTCTCAGCAGCACGACGCTCCCCTGCTTAAAACCCTATTACGCAGCTCCATCTGAAAACTCATGCAGTGCCCTCTCTGCACTACAGTAGTACACACACACACACGCACACACACACGCACACACACACGCACACACACGCGCACGCGCGCACACACACACGCACGCGCACACACACACGCACACACGCACGCGCACACGCACACACACACACGCGCACGCACACGCACGCACACGCACGCACACACACACACGCACGCACACACACACACACACACGCACACATTTTTGAGACGGTGTTTCACTCTTGTTGCCTGGGCTGGAATGCAACGGCACAACCTCAGTTCACTGCAACCTCCACTTCCTGGGTTCAGGCAATTCTCCTCTCTCAGCCTCCCAAGTAGCTGGGTTTACAAGCATGTGCCACCATGTCCAGCTAATTTTGTATTTTTAGTAGAGATGGGGTTTCTTCATGTTGGTCAGGCTGGTCTTGAACTCCCAACCTCAAGTGATCCGCCCACCTTTGCCTCCCAAAGTGCTGGGATTACAGGTGTGAGCAACCACACCCGGCCTACAGTAATATTTTATTTAACCCTCACAATAACCTCATGGGGAATATATTATTTGTACTTTAGAGCTAGAGAAGTGGTGACTCAGGGAGGCTGCATGACTTGCTCAGGGACACACAGTGAGAGGCAGAGCTGGGTACAAGGCCAGACCCTCCGACTTTAGAGCCCCAGCTCTCTCCACCCGAGTCGGGGCGCTCTCCTTGTTATAGAAGCACCTCCCTCATCTTCCTCTCAAATGCCCTGGGCTGGAGCAAATGAGCCCACAGTCTCCCTGAAAAGGAAGGGAAATTCCTCATAGGAAACGCCTTTGAAAACTTTTCTTTGACCTCAAAATATACATTTGTAAACTTGTTTCATCTTAAGAATTGAAGTGAATTTTATGTTCTATGCCCTAGTTAAATGTGTTTGTTTTTATGTGAAAATGTTTCTCCTCCAAATTTCTTTTTTTTTTTTTTTGAGACAGAGTTTCGCTCTTGTTACCCAGGCTGGAGTGCAATGGTGAGATCTCGGCTCACTGCAACCTCCACCTCCTGGATTCAGGCAATTCTCCTGCCTCAGCCTCCTGAGTAGCTGGGATTACAGGCACGCGCCACCATGCCCAGCTAATTTTTTGTATTTTTAGTAGAGACGGGGTTTCACCATGTTGACCAGGATGGTCTCGATATCTTAACCTCATGATCCACCCGCCTCGGCCTCCCAAAGTGCTGGGATTACAGGCGTGAGCCACCGCGCCCGGCCATCTCCAAATTTCTAAGTAACAAAGACACTGCAGAAAGTCGTGCCCTGTTGGGTTTCAAGGTCCTGGGTGTGAGCTCCTGAGTGCCCCGGGTGGCCTGGCAGTGCCATCTGGGAGGCATGGGCCTGTGGTATGATGTCAGAACTCCTGATCCGGGTTCACGAGGCCTCCGTGGCCTCACTGGCTTCATCACTGTGTCCCGTGCCCCGACATTCCTCCATGCAGGTTCCTTCTTCTTGCCAACAAGATCTACAGTAGGGCCGGGCGTGGTGGCTCACCCCTGTAATCCCAGCACTTTGGGAGGCTGAGGCAGGTGGATCACGAGGTCAAGAGATCGAGATCATCCTGGCCAACACGGTGAAACCCCGTCTCTGCTAAAAAATACAAAAATTAGCTGGGTGTGTGGTCTCAGCTACTCGGGAGGCTGAGGCAGAAGAATGGCTTGAACCCAGGAGGTGGAGGTTGCAGTGAGCCGATATTGCACCACTGCACTGCAGCCTGGCGACAGAGCAACACTTCATCTCAAAAAAAATAAAAAAGAAGACCTACAGTAGATTTCCCCTGTAAGCTCCATGCCTGGGTCTCTGGCCTCGGCCCTCTGTGTGCCCTTCTTTCCCGCCTGCTTACACCCAGGACGGCCTGCTGTCTCTACCTGCAAACTGTGAATTGTCTTCAAAACTTTCTGGCATGCCAGTTCTCCAGTTCTCCAAGCAGGCATCCTCACTCACTCTAGCCACCAGCTGCCTGGGAGTCACCTTGTCACCTGAATCACACCCCCAACAGAACTCCTCTGAGTCTGGGACAGTCATTTGTGGATGTCTTACTCTACAGACCTCAGGGGCACTGCTGGCTGTATCTCCAGCTCTAGTCTGACAACTCAATGGATGTTGAAGGACTCAAATTATTTTCTTTTTTCTTTTTTTGAGATCGAGTTTTGCTCTTGTTGCCCAGGCTGGAGTGCAATGGTGCTATCTCGGCTCACCGCAACCTCCGCCTCCCAAGTTCAGGCGATTCTCCCGCCTCAGCCTCCCTAGTAGCTGGAACTACGGGCACGTGCCACCATGCCAGGCAAATTTTGTATTTTTAGTTGAGATGGGGTTTCTCCATGTTGGTCAGGCTGTTCTGTTCTCGAGTTCCTGACCTCAGCTGATCTGCCTGCCTTGGCCTCCCAAAGTGCTGGGATTACAAGCGTGAGCCACCATGCCCGGCCATTGTTTTCATTTTATAGAGAGAAAATGGAGACTCAGAATAGTCATATGTCTTGCCAAGGGGGCCTCTTGAAAGAACCAGCACCGGATTCAAATCCAGGCCAGTCTGGCTGCAGATGCCACACCTGCGACTTCCAGACTTCTGCTCAGGGCGCACGCCCCAGAAACATGGGGGACTGACATGGGATTGTACCCATTTATTCTTTTGCCAAGAAAAAGAGTGTTAGAAAAAAACAAGCAGACAAGCCACTGTCTACTAACAGCACCACGTCATAACAGTGACACACTCGGAAGGACCTAATTTAACCGCAGTACGGTAGGAAGGACATCATTTGAAGAATAGAGGACACTCCTTCCCAAATGGGACAGGTGGTAACAACCAGGCACAGACGCGGGCTGTGGGCTGACGGACGCTTCCTGGTGACCAAGCATGTGGCAGTCACCACACTGTGCTTGTGGAGGGTTGCTGATAAATGTCACCACCAAGGTCACACAGCATTCCTCAGCACTCCGGGAGGATGGCAAGAGCAGGTATGCCTAAGCTTCGGGAGGATGGCAAGAGCAGGCATGCCTAAGCTTCGGGAGGATGGCAAGAGCAGGCATGCCTAAGCTTCGGGAGCTGACTGCACCGCCCGTGAGATAAAGCCACACTTCTCGACCAAGCACTAAGAGATGGATGCCTCGCTGCTTTCCCTTTCCCGGGACGAAGAGGGCTGGAGGGGAAGCAGAACAGCCCGAAGGAGTGGGGGTTGGGGACACGACACCCTAAGATCAGGGCTCTGAGGCCTGAGGATGCCTAGCTGGGCTCTTCTCCCTGGACAGCCGCTAGAGGTCGCTGCTGCCCCTCTCTGTCTGGGACAACCCCTCGCTGGGGCCTGGAGCGCTTCTCTCCAGAGCAGCTCAGAGAGCATCCCATGAGGGCGGCAGGTGCCCCCACCTAGGGAAAGCCTCCAGACTCCCACTCTCATTTGCCCATTTTCTCAATTCAGAACCATTGCTGCGATGACCCTCTCCCCTCTCCTAAGAAGCCCACCTTGATTAGATGTGGCAGAATGATGACACAAGCTGAGCCCCTCCCCGTGCCAACCCCGGGGCTTCCAAACTCCACCTCAGACTGACGTTAAAACCATGCCACCGCTTCCAGGCAGGCTTTCATGATCTTCCCCACTTCCTTCCTCCTTCCCTCTCCCTCCTCCCTCCTCCCTCCCCTGCCCTGCAGCATGAGCTGTCCTGAGCCCCTCCTCTAGGCCCACCACCAAGTCCTGCCCCACCACACTACACAGTATTGCAATCTCTTAGGAGCCTATCTGCCTTCCTCTTGAGACAGAGGGTCCCAAGGTCTGTATGGTGCCTGCCTCACACTCAACACATTCTTGCCAAACCTTTGTACCAAGGGGTCTGCGTCTATTTATCTTTTTATCTTTTTTTTTTTTTTTTTTGAGAAGGAGTCTCGCTCTGTTGCCCAGGCTGGAGGGCAATGATGTGCTCTTGGCTCACTGCAACCTCTGCCTCCTGGGTTCAAGCGATTCTCCTGCCTCAACCTCCCAAGTAGCTGGGATTACAGGCACCCACCTCTGTGCCCAGCTAATTTTTTTGTGTGTTTTAGTAGAGACGGTGTTTCACCATGTTGCCCAGTCTGGTCTCAAACTCCTGAGCTCAGGCAATCCACCTGTCTCAGCCTTTCAAAGTGCTAGGATTACAGGCGTGAGCCACAGCACCCGGCCCTATTTATGTTTTTAATTGGAAGATGTCAGCAACTCCTGCAGGTTTGATATTTCACTTGGGTGAATACCTGGCACCTCCTGCCAATGAAGATTGGACTAGATCATCACTTCTCAAGCCCTTCCTCAGTTAGGGTTCTAACTCCAGGGCAGAGATACAGCACCGGAGTTTTTAGATACTCCACACGGGATTTGGAGAGTTAGCTGGATTGACAGACCACCGATGGCATGCTCTAAGGTCGCTTTCTACTTCCGACATTCTCTGGTTCTAGGACTGGAGTGCTGTTGAACCCATTGCATAACTAATTAACTAAGATGGCGAGCAATCCCCTTCCACCCGCATTCCTGCCCGTACCAAGATGTTGTGCTCTGCGAGCTCCCGAGACCCTCCCCGGGCCAGGGGCCACCACAGCCACTCACCCTCGTCAGAGCCCGACTCGCCAGCATCTCAAAGGCTTGCACCACGTTGATGCCATTCTTGGCACTGACTTCAAAGTAAGGAATATCTTTCTCTCTGCACCAGCCTTGCGCTACTTCCTGGGGTACCTGAATGCGGGGAAGAAATAACCATGGTTCCTGTATTATCATCATCACCATCGCCACCATCACCACATTACATCATTGCCATTGTCACATCCCCACCGTCCCCACCATGCCCCCCACCACTCCCATAATTGAGAACCTTCCAAGTGTCTATACCTTTAAATATCAATGTAGGAGGTGGGAATTGTTAGCTCCATTTCACAGATGAAAAAATGGAGGCCTGGAGAAAACACGTCTTGCTCAGAGCATATGAGGCTGAGCAGGATTTGAACACAGGCCTGGCGGGATTGGAGCCCACTGCACGTTGCTGCCTTCCTAAGGCCTCAACTGAGCGTCTTCCGCCATTGCCTCCTTTGTCAGTCCCTTCAAAGGGGGCTGCACATGAGAGATGCCAGCTGGCAAGGGCAGGAAGGGAGGACTTTCTCCTCCAGGCCAGCGAGGTGGGCTCACACTCAGGAGGCCTGTTGCTGGGCAGAGACTCGGGTCTCAGCTGACCCTGCTTCCCCAGGGTAGGGTCCCAGGAACAAGTAATAAGCTCCTACTATGGGCCAGGCCCCGTGTTAGTGACTTTATCACATACGAACTCATCTCATCCTTTCCGAAACCCTGTGAGATGGGCGTTACCAGTTCTGCTTTATAGACAAAACACTGAGGCTCAGAGAGGTTCAGCAACTTGCCCCAGATCACGCAGCTGAGAGAAGGCAGAGCTTGTATGCAGCCCCAGCTCAGCGCTCCCCTGGCATCTGAGCTGCCCTCTACAGGGCACTGCATAAGAACGGTGCCTCACCTTTTCTGCCTCCCTCTGGGAGCTCAGGATCAGGAGCTCAGCTCTTGGCCTGGCACACATGAGCCACTAGGCAGAGACTGAATGACTCCCTCTCCGCCCACGTGAAATGGCTGTTCGATCTGTACTGTTGGCTTGGAGATGCTCTGGAAGCCCGTTGGGTTACTTCCAAAGACAATTGATCACCACCGAGTTTGATGTCTAATGATTTTGGGTAGGGGGAATGACCACATTTGCTGAGCCTGGTACTTTATAATCATGATTTCAGTTTACCTGGGGGAGCCAAGGTCTTCCTCATGGAGAAAGAACCCTTCCACCCCTCCCCTGGAGCACAGCGCAGGCAGAGGCAGATCAAACACCGCCCCTGTTGAAACTGTCTGTGGCTCCTGCAGGTTCTGGGAATGTCTGTCTCCTGGGATAAAAAGTTCCAGCTGATCTCAGCTGACCCTTTCCTCTGACTTATCACGACCAGATCCACCCAAGCCAAGCGCCTGGCCACCGCAGACTTTGGATCTCATTTCTCCCTGCTCTCCGTTTGGTTTGGAATGATTGCGTACAGACTCCGAAATACCATTGTGATTAGGCTGCAAGTCAACGTTCTTTTTATATTCCCGTCCTCCCCACCCCAACCTCAGAAAGCTGGCCTGGGAAGAAAGCTGCCCAGACAGTGTTTTCCACTTTTCTCCTCCAATCCCAGAGGCAGTTTCACGATTTTTAAAATCGTCTCATCTTTTATTTATAAAATGAAAGTTATTTATAATTTAGGCTCTGACTGAAAATAAGCTCAGGGTGTGGCACTTGGAGACACGGGAAGTATGACAATTCTGAATGTATTACTTGCCTTCACGTTGCTTTTGGTCAACAATATACTATTGACCTTTCACTTTTCTGGTGACAATTTCACTTGCTCATTGGAGGCCAAACATTTGATAAAATTTGTCCAGTTGGTGTCATTTTATTTATGGCACTTTTCCATCTCATATGCATTTGAGATAATTGATTATACAAGTGTTAAAATTAGCATGTCAAATACTAATTACTAAACCGTTAAACCATCACTAAAAATAACAAAGGACATTTTTAGAAAACATGATCTTAATTTTACGGAATCGCTGGTAAATCAGAAACTACCCACCTGAGCACAGAGCAAATAATTCATGCCCCAGTGAGTAAATTCCGGGTAGCACAGACACCAGCAAAGCTATTCTTTCTAATAAACTATTTTTTTTCACTATTATCTTCTGTAGAAGAAGCAGGGATTTTTTTTTAAAAAAAAAAACTAAATCAGTTATTTCTTTAAAATTATTCTGGCTACATATGCCTGTTTATATTGCGATGAAATATACCTCACAAAATTTACCATTTTTAAATTAAACACTCTTTTTTTGAATTTTTTTGTTTGTTTTGGTCTTGGAGATGGGGGCCTCCCTACACTGCCTAGGTTGGTCTTGAACTCCTGACCTCAAGTGATTCTCTCATCTCAGCCTCCCACAGTGCTGGGTTACAGATCACGGGCATTTGGTACATTAATTCGTGGTCACGTTGTACATTCCCCAATATCCATCTTCAGCACTTCCTCATCTTCCTAAACTAGCAATATATATGTATTATAAATATATGTGTGTGTATATATATATATATGTCTATGTGTGTATTTATGTGTGTGTGTGTGTGTGTATATATATATACATATATATATATATATACATATATATATATATATATATATATATATATATATAATTTTTTTTTGAGACAGTTTCTTGCTCTGTCTACCAGGCTGGAGTGCAGTGGTGTAATCTTGGCTCATTGCAGCCTCTCTCTCCCACGTTCAAGGAATCCTCCCACTTCAGCCTTCTGAGTAGCTCAGACTACAGGTGTGCCACCACATATGGCTAATTTAAAATATACATATATGTATTTTTTGGTAGAGATGGGTTCTTGATATGTTGCCCAGGATGGTCTCAAACTTCTGGGCTCAAGTTATCCCCCATGTTTGATCTCCCAAAGTGTTGGGATTACAGGCATGAGCCACTGGGCCAGGCTGCAGTGTATTTTTAAATACTCATTTTCTTCTTAATGAGTAAGTAGGAGAAGCTGCTGTATTTTCCCAGCTGTCCCTTGGAGATAATAAGGAGGATCCCTTCCTGGCTCCATTATTTCCATTATGGAAATCTATCCTTCCTGTTATTACTCAGTCTCAGGAAGTCTGACCTCCACCCCACAGAGGAGAAAACTGCTCCGGGCCATATGGACCAGGTGGGTGGGTGTGAGCCTGGGTCTGTGGGATGGGCTTGAGGAGAAAGAGCCCCATGAGAGCATGTGTCTTGGGTCCCCTTCTCTATATCCACACCCAGCCAGGGACAGGTAGAGCCCTTGCCAGGTCTGTGCAGAATAAGGACATTTGAGGCCCGGCACCCCCAGTCTCCCCTCTTGGGGCTTTATAATTCCAGGTCTCAGAATTAAAGTCCTTCTGCTCTCTCCCACCACCTCCTCCTCTCCACTAACAACTCCTATTTCACTGTCGCTCAGTGACTCCTCCCCTCCCCGTCCTACTCCAACTCCCTACAAACCCCTTTCCTGGGCCTGCCTTGTTGAGAGACAGGTTCCCCTCTTCTCCACCCTCTCCTCCCTCCTCTCCTCCATCCTCCCCTCCATCCTATCCTCCCTCCTCTTCTCCCTCCTCTCCTCCTCTCTCTTCTATTCTCTACTCCCTCCTCTCCTCCCCTCTCCTCCATCCTATCCTCTCCTCTCCTCCATACTCTGCTCCGGCCTCTCCTCCATCCTCTCCTCTATTCTCTCCTCCCCTCTCCTCCTTCCTCTCCTCCCTCCTCTCCTCCATCCTCTCCTCCCTCCTCTCCTCCATCCTCCCCTCCATCCTATCCTCCCTCCTCTTCTCCCTCCTCTCCTCCTCTCTCTTCTATTCTCTACTCCATCCTCTCCTTCCCTCTCCTCCATCCTCTCCTTCCTCCTCTCCTCCATACTCTGCTCCATCCTCTCCTCCCTCCTCTCCTCCATACTCTGCTCCATCCTCTCCTCCCTCCTCTCCTCCATACTCTGCTCCATCCTCTCCTCCCTCCTCTCCTCCATACTCTGCTCCATTCTCTCCTCCATCCTCTCCTCCATCTTCTCCTCCATCCTCTCCGGGACCTCCCTGTCTGGCTGAACCCTGGCTTTTCTTAGGGCCATGCTTCCCCAGTGCCCCCTCTTGCCCTCCCCACTGGGGCTATTTGCAGACTCGACTCACCACACATCCCAGAGAGGGGATTGACTTGCCTGGTGCCTCACTGCCTCTTTCAAACCTTTGTTCTTTCTCTCTCTGAACACCAGAGCTCACCCACCCTGAGGCTTGGATTGGACCCCTCTTCCCCTGTGAGTCACCACCCGCCCTTCTCATCTTGCCAGGCGCCTCTCACTCACTTAGCACTTGCCATCTGGTGAGGCTTTCTCACCCCTCAACACGCAGCCACCACCTCTCATGGTAGCCTCAGAAACCCTTTGCTGCCCACAATCTCTCCACGTCAGCCTCTGTAAAATATGACACTTGGCCTCCTGTGCCCCGATCTCCTTTCCCTCAACCCCCTCAGGCCCTCCCTCCTGCTGCCCTGCTCCCCAGCCTCTGCCACCCCAGCCCTGGCCCCTTAGCCTTCCCCAGTCCCTCTTCCTTCCTTCATGGTTTCTCGGTGTCCTCACAGCTCTGTCCCTCAGCTGCTGTTGGTTGGAAAAGACTTAGTCCAGGTTCCTTGCTCCTGGTTTGTACCCCCACACAGACCCCACCTCACACTCATGGTCTCCTTCAGTGGAGTCCTTGGTGTCACCCATCAGCTCTTGTCCTTGTCCCCAGGTAGCTCCTCCCCAGAATAACCGGCAAAGCTTCCTCATGGTTTGTAAGCCTCGTATTGGTTTCCTCCCTCTCAATAAAAGATGCACCTCTTATTTCACGGATTCTGCCTTGAGCTCCCCCAGCTTCCCTCCCCACACCCTACAGCATGAAACAAGATGGAAGTTAAAAGGAAAGTTTTGGCAGAGGTACAATAAGACAGGTATAAAGCAGGTGGAGACAGTCCCCCTTGGGTACACATTCCCAAAGTCTCATGGTGAAGACTCTCTTGGATGACTCTAAATTCCACAGCATGGATATAAAAGCTTAATAATGAGGATTAGGAGGGATTTACCTGGAGAGAGTTGTGCTGTGGGTACAACAACCCCTGCCTCTCCCAAGAAAAGGAGCAGGAAGGCCTCACCTCTAACTGAAAGATGGCGTTGAGGACTCACTATCATATGACCCCTGGAGTTTGGTTGGCACGGTGGATAGGTGTCTGACACACACCTGAGGTATCTGAGGCAAGAGACAATGGGGCAGAGGGGAAGAGGCTGCACTGGGCACCAGCTATCCTTACCCCTAAGTGGAGCCAGAATGCATGAGTGTGCCTTGTGAAGGAAAGGTGGATTCAACAGAGAGAGAGCCAGGCTGGGACAGGCTAAATCCCACCTAGAAGACTGCTTGGAGGAAAAGGTGATCTCCATGGGGGTGGGGATGCCAAAAGTTAGGGGTTGAGGAGAGGAATGCAAGGCCCTGGTCATGAGAGGTGAAGTGAAATGTTCCCAGTGGAGGCTTCCTAAGGACCCACAGGGTGACCCACCGAAGAGAGAGCTTGCAACACCTGTCAGGCCCGGAGAGGGCAAGGCTGTCTTATGACAGTACCAGTCAAATGAGAGTTGCCCTGTTCTCCTGAACCTCTTCTCCTTCTTCCTCCTTCACTCCTGACAGGGTCTGAAACCAGAATTACCACTCCAGATAAGAGGAGGAAGTGTGGGCATCAAGGTTGGCAGTGAGGTTCTAAGGACCTACTCCCTCTCTTAGACCACAAGGTTCTCACGCACAGCTGGTCCCAGTGGGGGAAGAAATGGAGGCTCCTTGTCTTTGAAGGAAATTAGGACTTTACTGATTGTCCAAGGCTGGATATTTGTAATTAGAGAATTGACACAGGGTTTACAACCTGAAGTGACCACAGACCCGACGACTCCTAGATTATCTATTTCCAGCAAGGGCTTCTCCTTTGAAATTTCATTCTTGTGCGTTCAAAGCCTGCTGGTCATTTCCAACTAGTTCTACAAGTTCCTCAAACTCGGCCTGTCCAAACCAAAAATGTTTCTTTCTCTAGGAGCCAGAGGCCCCCTCTCTGCAGATCACAGCTTAGTTGGAAGCACCATCTCTCCCTCCCTTTCTCCACCCGTAAACACACTTGGTCATGCCAAACGATGCCTTATTTCTATTGCTTTCTCTATTTGAACCATGGTGAAAGTGTAGTTTAGACAGGATGATCCAGTTCCCCATCACTTTTCTGTATTTGAAACTCTAAAAAGAGAAACTTGGTTCAAACAGCTCTTTCTGGCAGTGTCTGGACTTTTGACCCAAGAGCATCCTTTACAAATTAAGTCTACCTATATTCTTTTTTCAGTAGTAGGCAAGGATTAAAAATGCTCTCTTCCCAACAGCCCTGTGATGGTAAACACCTCCACAAGCAGGGTCACTGCAGTCACGGAGTAGGCCAGCTGTCAGGCGGGTACCCCAATGGTCTGGAATATGCTTAAGCTAATAAAAAAATTACTACTTCCTCAGAAAACTTGTATATCCAAGAATTTATAACTGCAGACTCCCACCTTGACCCGATGCTACAGATTAGTTGAAATTCCACTGAGACCGGCCTCTAATGCTGTAACTCCTCCGTTCGCTGTCTCTGGACAAAATCACCTTCCGTTCTCAACTGATATCATGCTGTTTATTCAGCCCAGAACCCAACTCTTCCAGGAAACCTGTCCTATATTCTAGGCTTGGGTAGATGCCCCTTTACTGTAGTCCCTAAATACCCAAGGTATATCTCTGTTATTTCATTTACCATATCGTACCATAATTATCTTTTTATTTTACTTTATAATTATCTTTTAAAGTATCTGTGTCCGCTACTGGACTGTGAAATTCCTGAAGTAAGTAAGGACTATACCTGATTCAGCTCTGTGTGTGTGGGACCTAACGCAGTGCCTGGCACATAGTGGGTGCTCACATCATGTTTGTTGAATGAATAAATGAACAAACAGTACCTTCCGGTCTGCCAGATCGATTTTGTTCCCCAACAACACCATGGGGTAGGACTGCTCCATGGGGACAATCTTGGCCAGAACGTCACCCCGCCAGATATCCAGGGCTTCAAAAGACTCCAGGTCGGTGACATCAAACGCTAGGATACAGCCATCGGAACCTTTGTAGAACGTGGACACCATGGAGCGGAACCGCTCCTGACCGCCAGTGTCCCAGATCTGGAGGAGAAAGCAGCCGCCCCACGGGCAGTGATGAGGCTGGAAGTAAGCTCAGCTGGGTTACATCATGCTAAGGCTTCCTTTGCTGGGTAGCAAGCCCTGGTACAGGTGCACATGGTTCTTTCACACAGAGGCATCTTGACCCTCCCACCCACATATACTCCAACACCTTTGGGGTAACACTTAACATCCTGAGAGTAAATTCACATCTGAGCTCTCGTTTTTCCCCTGGGTCATCAAGGTGGGGGCTATTATTCTCGTCTGACAGATCTGGAAACTTGGATCTTGGGAATGTCTTGCCTAAGATCACCTGCCAAGTTTTCCAGAGAACCTGAGACTAGGCGTGGGGTCTCTCAACTCCTGGATTAGTGCTCTTCCTTCTAGATTGGGCATCAGCAATTTTTTTTTTTTCTGTAAAGAGCAGATAGTAAATATTTTAGGCTTTGCAGGCCATACTGTCTCTGTATGCCAATTATTACTCAACTCTGCCATTGTAGTGCATAACATGATAAGTTAATCAATGGGTGTGGCTGTGCCCCAGTGAAGTCTTATTTACAAATATAGGAGGTGGACCAGATTTGGCCCATGAGCTGAAGTTTGCCCATCTCTGCTCTCGACCATTCTAGCTCTGGTGCACATTGGCTCCATGAGTGGCTGTCGAGGGGTGGGGGTGATTTTCAGTGTATGTATGTTGAAGAGGGAAAAGGAGGGCTTCTTACCTGTAGCTTCAAAGTTGTGTCACCCAATATAATAATCTTTGAGAGGATGCTGGCCCCCAGAGTGGTCTGGTATTCCTCGTAAAATGTCTTGTGCACATATTGGTGAAGGAGGGAGGTCTTTCCCACACTGAAGAAAATTCCAGACACATGTGAACTCACACATGCTTCCATACCATTCTCAGAACCTTACCAGGCCCCTCTTGCCACTGTCTCTCCTTGAGATTCGTAATTGCAAATTTCGGTGGTCCATGGACCACACTTTGAGTAGCAAGGGAGTAGGAAATGGTTTCTAGAAGTAGAAGCTGATCGAAGTGAGCAGAATTGTCGGGAGACAGTGGAGTATCTTACAGTGATGGTCAGGTTTTTTCTGTGTGTGTAGGAGGTGGGAGGACGGATAGATGCTAAATGACTTGTCTAATTCACACAGCTGGTTACTGCAGAGTCACTGCAGATCTGGGACTAGAAACCATCCATTTATGTGCAGCTGCTTTCTCCCAACTAAGTTCTCTTTTGGGGTGTGGGATACACTTGCTGGTGCCGCTCTGAATCAGAAAGGGACCTATGGGGGATGGGAACACACCAGGAGGTCTCACTGTCCCTGGGTGAGGGGCTGCATCCCAATTCCCAGAGCTGACTTGGCTTACCCTATGGCTCCGACAATAATGAGTTTCAAGTCCACCTTCTTCCGGGGATTCATGGAGGGGCTTCAGAGCCTGTAAGGAAACAGAGGTCATCCACTTGCTGGTCAGTGTTTCTTGCAGCCATTGTCACTCTGACAGTGGCTTCTGCTTTCCCCTTTTCAATGGGCAAATGACTGCCCTGGGCCCAGGACTGGGTGGGGTAGTTCTTCGAAAGAGGCACATCATTCAGCGATTCTCTTACACCTTCTCCCTCGCCTTCCCTGGGGGCCTCCCCAAAGCTGGAAGGGTGATGACCCTCCAGGACAGGCAAATCTCTCATCCCTCTGCTCTACCAACCCTGCTCTTGGAGGCAGTCTGAAGTGCCCAGAAGACAGGACAGGATTGAACAGAGGCCTCACGGACAGCCCAGTGTGGAGCCAGGGATGGAGGGCCACGCAGGAAGAAGAGATGGGGGTGAGCAGGACAAGGGGTCCATTGTCAGGACTGCCCAGAGGCTTTGAATGGAAGACGGCCCCTCCCCCAGCCCAAGGTCTGGCTGCAGTTGCAGAATCAAAGGCTCCTCTCTAATGCAGCTGGCGGGGCTGTAACTGATACATGTTTCTGGAAAGCTATTGGCAGCAAGTGTTGAGAGCCTTAAAAATGTTCCCGCCTTCCACTTCTAGGAATTTGCCTTAAAGAAATTATTCGAAATGTGGATCAAGACTCTTGTTCAAGAATGTTCTTCACAGTACGGTTTATAAATAGCCAATAATAAAATAGTGGTTAAATCATAGCACACAATGAACTATTAAGCAGTCATTAAATGGAGTTTTTGAGACTATTACAATAATATGGGGAAATGCTCACACCCTAGGATCTAAATAAAAAACAAGATGCTAAACTGTACACACAATACCACCCAATACTTACAGGAGTAAGTATTACTTGTACAGATAAAGGCCTGGGAAGAAAGGAAAGAAATATATTAAAAACTCCCACAATTTCGCTACAGGATACATAGGTAAAGGAAATGAAATCAGTATGTTGAAGAGACGTCTACATGCCATGTTCACTGCAGCACTGTTCACAGTAGCCAAGATATGGAATCAACCTAAGTGTCCATCAGTGGATGAATGGGAAAAGACAATGTGGTGCATGTGCACAGTGGGGGCTGTTCCGTTTTTACAAACACTTACAATTTATGACAATATGGGTAAACCTGGAGGACCTTATGTTAAGTGAAATAACCCAGACAAAGAAAGACAAGTATCATATGATCTCACTTTTATGTGGAATCTAAAATAATTGAGCTCATAGAAGTCGAGAGTTGAACAGTGGTTACCAGGGGCTGGGCTGGGGTGGGCAGCTGGGGAGATATGGTCAAAGGATAAAAACTTGCGGTTAGACAGGAGGAGTGAACTCAAGAGATATATTATGCAGTATGGTGACTTTCATTAACAACAATGTATTGTACTCTTGGAAATTCCTACTAGAGTATGTATTAAATGTTCTCACCACTAAAAAATAAGTATGTGAGGTAATGCAGGTGTTAATTACCTCCATTTAGCCATTCCACAATGTTCTCACATTTCAAAACAACATGTTGTACATGATAAATGGGTACAATTTTTATCTGTCAATTAAAAATGAAAGTGATTAATTCTGGGTGGTAGGAAATTACATGATTTTAATTTTTTTTCTCTTTGCTTTTTAATACTTTCCATTTTTTAGCAACAAATATGTGGGGTTTTTTTTTTTTTTTTTTGAGACAGAGTTTTACTCTTGTTGCCCAGTCTGGAGTGCAATAACGTGATCTCAGCTCACTGCTATCTCTGCCTCCTGGGTTTAAGTGATTCTTGTGCCTCAGCCTCCTGAGTAGCTGGGATTACAGGCATATGCCACCATGCCTGGCTAATTTTTTGCATTTTTAGTAGACAGGTTTCTCCACGTTGGTCAGGCTGGTCCCAAACTCCTGACCTCAAGTGATCCACCTGCCTCAGCCTCCCAAAGTGCTGGGATTACAGGTATATGAGCCACCACGCCCAGCGACAAATATGTCTTATTCCTAGAAGAGAAATGTAAATGCATATATATAAGTGTGTGTGTGTGTTTGTGTGTGTGTATCTTTTTTTTACAAGGTATAGCAAAACTATTGTAGGAGACATACCTAATTGGCCCTTTGTTTTACCCATACATACACATATGCATATGCACTATCCCCAACTCCTGGGTCTTTTGTCTTTAGATGCACTAAGCATGACAAGTAAACCTTGATTTGACTCTGCTCAGATGAAGTTTCAAAAGTTGGCCAGCTTGTGTTTCCTCTGGTACTTGGAAAAAGCTGTAAATATGACATCCTGAGGCCTTGGTTCTGATTCTCATTTTGCCACTTTGTGACCTTGGGCCAGTTACTTTCCCTCTCTGAGTATTGGCTGTCCAACTGGAGAATGAGCCAGCCCCAAAAGATTCAAGATGCCTTCTTGGTGAAAAATGCTTTATCTACTGGAGCTGGAGCTCACTGGCCATGAGAGCTGTGCTTGGGACCCAAAATGGGAAACCCCCAGAGACCTAGGATTGTTAATGTCCCCTTCATGAATTATGTCACGGACTGTATTAGTCTGTTCTTATGCTGCTATAAAGAACCTCCTGAGACTGGGTAATTTATGAAGGAAAGAGGTTTAACTAGTTCCACATGGCTGGGAATGCTTCAGGAAACTTAAAATTATGGTGGAAGGGGAAGCAAACACATCCTTCCTTACATGGTGGCGGGAGAGAGAAGCACAGAGCAAAGTGGGGAAAAGCCCCTTATAAAACCATCACGTCTTTCGAGAACTCACTATTATAAGAACAGTAAGGAGGAACCACCCCCATGATCTAATCACCTCCCACAAGGTCTTTCCTCCAACACGTGGGAATTATAATTTAGATTACAATTCAAGATGAGATTTTGGGTGTGGGCAAAGCCAAACCATATCATGGACCAAAGGTGATTTGAAGCTCTGCTCAGAGCTGTTTGTCCCAGGAGCTAGAGTTGGAACTTCTGCTCTAACCCAGGAGGGCTGTGTTGGCATGGTGAGCAAAGGGTCTTCTTGACAGTCCATGCATTTATGCAGCAAATGCCTACATGCCTACTGCATGCAAAGTCTCGCACTAGACACTGGGAGCAGCACAGAGATGGAGTAAATAGGAACCCACCATAGGGTGTCATCAAGGAAGCAAGGACAGGGGCTGTGTGAGAGACACATAACAGTAGGTTGCTATGCGCAATGATAAAGTGCTCATACAGATAATAAAAGGCAGCATACTTATCAAAAAATGGGCAAAGAACATGAACAAGTTACCGATTGAAATCTTATTAAGAATTAGTAAGCTTTGAAAAGATACTCAACCTTACTATCAAGGAAATAAACATTTCAAAATACCATTTATTTTCACCCAGTAAAGAGGCAAAAATTTAAGAAGATTGATGACAATATTTAGGATTGGCAAGTGTGTTGGGGGAAACGGTCTTGTATATTGTCAATAGAGTATGAATTAGCACAGTCTTTTTGGAAGGCAATTTGACAATATCAAAACTGAATATGTATACAACCCAGGTTCTCATTCTAGGAATCTGTCCTACAGAAATACTCACGCATATGCTCAAATACATATGTGTACAAAGATGATTGCTAAAGCATTGCTATAATCTGACTGTCCATCAGTAGGAGACTCTCTACAGAAATTCTGATCCATTAATACTCTGGAACAATTGGCTGCTTTATTATTTATTTATTTATCTATTTAGAGACAGGGTCTCATTCTTTTGCCCAGGCTGGAGTGCAATGGCATGATCATAGCTCCCTGCCACCTCAAATTCCTGGGCTAAAGTGATCTTCCCGCCTCAGCTTCCCAAGTAGCTGGGACTACAGGTGTAAGCCATGATGCCTGGCTGATTTCTTATTTTTCATTTTTTTGTAGAGATAGGGTCATGCTTTGTAGCCCAGGCTGGTATCAAACTCCTGGCTTCAAGTGATCCTCCCACCTCAGCCTCTCAAAATGTTGGCATTACAGGTGTGAGCCACCACACCTGGCCAAGGGCAGTTTTAAAAAGATTAAATAATGAAGTGGAAAGTCATACGTAATGCTTTTAAATAAGAAAAAAGAAAATCGCTGAATATTTTATATAGTGTGATACAGAAAGCCAGAGGTAGATTTATACTAAATGATTCATAAGAGAGATGGGAAAGGTAAATTAGAGGCCAACAGGTATTACTTTATGTCATGTATGTTTTGTTTTAAAATTTGTTACACAAACGTAAGTTGTTTTTGTAATTGAAAAATACTGGCGGGGCGCGATGCCTCACGCCTGTAATCCCAGCACTTTGGGAGGCCGAGGCAGACAGACCACAAAGTCAAGAGATTGAGATCATCCTGGCCAACATGGTGAAACCCTATCTCTACTAAAAATACAAAAATTAGCTGGGCATTATTGGGAACCTGTAGTTCCAGCTACTCGGGAGGCTGAGGCAAGAGAATTGCTTGAACCCAGGAGGCAGAGGTTTCAGTAAACCAAGATCACGCCACTGCACTCCAGCCTGGGCGACAGAGTGAGACTCCATCAAAAAAACAAAGATCAAATAATCATTTAATATTTCTTTAAAAAGATGTGTGGATGGCAGCACAAAGTAATTTGAGCATGACTTTCAGGTAGGACAAATTGCTTTTGTATCTGAGCAAGAGAGCAAGTCTGTCCAGTGCCATGGAGTGATCATGAGTGCAGGACTCAGAATTCTTAACCCGCTCCACACATTTGTGTCCTTGGGTGAGTTACTGAACCCTGGGGCATCTGTTCCCTCATGGGTAAAATGGACATCACTTGTGGCTGTGGCTTCCTCTGCAGGTGGCATGTGTCATGATCTTACAGCACAACAGGCTCCCCAACTTGGCAAAGATCCAGATAATTGTTTACCGACTAGGAGAGAGGGTGAGTCTAGAGACCAGAGCCCTGGTTATGCTTGCCACTTCCGATGGTGTAAAACCCTCCACCATGGCGACTGCAAGCCACCAGCGTGGAGCCTGCTCCAGCACACTCCTGCAAGGACCTCAAAGGTCATTTATGCCAAGCACTACCCTGAGCTTGAGTCATTTCTTCCACATTCATGAAAGGTAGAGCCAGACCTGGCCCATGGAGCTGCTTCCTCCTCCTAGGAGTATTTCTCCTGAGGGCCACACAAAAGTGCTCAAGATCCTTGTAAGTTACCTTGCTTTAGAGCTCCCACATCCCACTGCCTCCCTGGTTCCTTCCCCTGGATGATCACTCAGGGTGTGCCCTCACTGCAGGTTCCCCTACCCCATCCCAGAAGGGCAGGCGTTTGCTGAGGCTGCTATTTTATAAAAGCCCGGTCCTTGGGCCCAGCATCACTAAGAGCAACCAGAGAGTGACTGGGACAGGTCACTGTGGGCAGTGGGGGCGGCTTGTGGGGTGACACAGGCTGGCTTGCCTAGGAGGCACATGCTGATCTCATATGGCGGTCAGAGTCCCTTTCCAAGTCACCTCTGCTGCCTTTGGCAGTAAGCCTCCTCCCGCCCACTCAGCTGACTCAGATGCTTCAAACCAGGGAATCCTCCTAGAGTCCAGGCTGAGTCATCCTCTACTGTTAAGTAACAGTGAAAAGCAGGATTGAAATGCAGGACAGTGCCTTCAGCCAGCCCCGGTCCATACAGAGCAGAACTTGCGGCAACTCACTCCCCACTGGAGGTGCCCAACTCTTCCCCCCTCTTGCCTGGCAGCACTTGTAAACCTGGAGTCCTGGTCCTTCCCATTTGCCAAAGCTACATGGTAGCTCAGCTCCTGTGGAGGAAGAAGGACTGAGTTGTTACCAAGCCCCAGGGCCTGGAACCAGCCCTCCAAGGACCCTTGGACCCCCTTTGCTCTCACTTCTGCCTTCCTTTCTCTCCCTACCCTGCTGGCTCCAACCTGAAACCAGGCACAGTCTTCTGTCACATCTGTGTTGGGTGGGGTATCACTTCTGCTGACAGGAGACGAGTGAGCAGGGCAGGTGAGGGTTCTGAAGAGACAGTCTCCCGCCCCCGTGGTACTGTCTTCCCTGGCTCTTGTCCACTTTCAGCACCTCCCCTCCCGATCCCATACCTTGGAGAAGGACAAATATACCCACGCTAAAAAAATAATGGGACCTACGATCTTGGGAGCAAAGTTTGTCTGTGAGAAGAGGCTATGTAGAGAGCACAGGGCTTTGTCGTCTCCCAGTAAAGCTCACAAGTCCGCCCTACCCACCTCAACCCTAACGGGTCTAGACCTGCTCCCTCCGGGAAGTGCACCCACAGCTCTGGTTTCGGGAGGCTCTGTGCTCTTCTTCTTCAAGTTGCTTGAGGGAATTAGTCTTGTCTCCTCGAGTAGACTGTTCATGCCTGGAGGGCAGGACTGTGCCTCACACCTCTGTGTATCCCACTAAAGAGCCTGACCAATGCTGGGATTCTAGAAACTTCCATGAACAGCCATCCATCCACTCATCCATCCATCTGTTTATATGTTCAGCATAGACAGTGCCGCTTACTACACACCAGCACTGTGTAGGTCTGAGGATACAGACAAATTACTATCTCCATGGGACCTTTGTGGTGAGAGATTGATCTGTAAGCCCAAAGAAATTATTTGTGTTAATACATAATACCTAGCAATTATAGAGGATGTGCAGTTTATGAAATGCCATTAAAGCCCAGTGGAGTCCTGGGTCAAGAACAACTAGTTGGTGGTAAACTGGGTAGAATGCAGATCTGTACAACTCTATTCATTGGCTCCCCTGGCATTGCAGCACTGGGCAAAGAGAAATATTTATGATTTAGAACAGGAGTGATAATTTCCTCCTCCAGGGGCCAAGCTTCGCCTGAGGAAACCCTTGGGCAGTCACGGTTCCATCCCAGAAGGTACTCTGTTGATATCACAAAGGGACTCTGGGTGCCAGCAGGGTTTTGCCCTCCTGCAGGGCTCTAGTTTCTGGCAGGTCCTGTAGGCTGGAGGCAGCAGCGCCGCCCTCTTCTGATGGGCCGGCAGCTGCGTCCTGGGACTGACAGCCCTTGTGGGTCCCATGGCTGGGCCCCAGCTCTTCGCACAGGCAGTGAAGTCCTTTCTTGCTGCCACACCCTGGGAGTTTCTCCAGGGTGGGAGTCTTTGGGCTGGATCTAAACTCTGCAGCTGCCAGATCTTTGCAGTCCCTGCCTCCGCTCCTCCACCCAAACACCCAAATAACTCTCAGGGCTGCAGGGGCAGACAGGACTGGGACAAACTCCCAGGCACTTACAGCTGTGGCTGTGTAGCACTCGGCCTCCGCTCCGAGGACAGCTGGGAGTCCTCTCTCAGTCTGGGGTCTCTTCTTAGAGCAGTAGTCTCAGCAGTGCCAGGGAAAAGGTTTTGTGATAAAGACAGGCAAAAAAAAAAGTCTGTTGAAGCCACGCCACTTCCCTCTGAGTTTTCCTCCTCTCGCTCTCGTGCACAGACTTGGGAAAGTTGCAAAAGAGGCTGGGCCGGGTGACCTCAGCTGTGTGGGTGGAGGGGGTGGAGTGGAATGGAAAAGCTAGGCTCCAGAGCCGTCCAGATTTGGGGCCCTCACGAATTTCATTTATAGGGACCCTGGTCCATGGTGATGAGGGTGGGAGCTGTGGGTCACGGGGCCTGCAGGGTAACGTGCCCCATTGTGGGCACCATAAGAACCTCAGGTTGGCTTTAGAAGCTTTTGCTTCTGCTGCTGGAAGCCACCCAGTAAAGGAGCCCATTGTTTTCTTTGAGGTTTTAGATACACACGGGTAGAAGATTCAGTCCTATCCCCAGCCTGGTAGGAAGAGGTTTTGATCTTGACGTCTTGCCTTTACCCCGATACCTGTACACACACACACGCACACACACACACACACACACACACACTCCTCTCCCACTCCAACACACAGCACACACATAAATAACACAGTACATGCCACATACCACGCACCACACACACTATACACACATACACACTCCTCCCCCACTTCAACACGGCACACACAAATAACACATATACATGCCACGCATCACACGCACTACACACACACCCCACAGGCACACCACAGACAACACCAATACATACCACACACAATAGACTCACCACACATACACACCACATACACAAACACCACACACACCACACATGGATCACACAAACACACCATACACATATCACACATATACACCACACACACACCACACATATACACTGCACACAAACACCACACATATATACCACATACTACACACACACCACACACACTACACACAAACATCACATATACGTATCACATACCACACACAACAAACACACCACACATACCTACTACACACAACACACACTACACAAACACACTACACATACCAAACAGAACTCATACACTACACCACACACAGCACATATACACACCACACACAAACATTACACATACGTACCACACACAACACACACTACATAAACATACCACACATACACACCATACACAAATACCATGCATATGTACCACAACACACAAAAAACACAAACACCCCATATACACAGCCTACATACATACCACATACAACATACACACAACACATACACCACACACAGACACATTACATGCATACCACACACAACACAAACTGCACACATACACATCACACATACATGTCACACACAACACACATACTACACAAACACACCACACACAACATGCATACACATTCACACACAGAAACAACACAAATACATACTACACACAATATACATGCAAATCACACACAGACATACATGCATATTGCATGCAGAAACAACACACATACATACCACACACCACATACACAAACAACATATATACATACCACAGACAACACACATCACACAAACACATCACACACACCCATGCCCCCCCACCACACATGCGTACATTAAACCCCACACCAGGCTTGTGAGATGTGAAGCAAGCCCTGACCTCTCCTCTCGAGTGAGGATTATGACCCAGCCTGAAATACCCGGGAGACCACAGCAATTTAAAACGCTGCCGGCATGCGGCTAATTTGGTATCTCTTTGAGCCGCCTGGAACTATGCCTAGAATCGCTATGACTGGCGGATGAAAGGAGAAGAAGTGAGTTTGGGCAGGCCTCGGCTGGGGATGTCAGGCCTCACTGGAGCCCTTCCGGGCATGCAATGCATTGGGGGCCCCCTTCCATCCCCACATCTCTTGTGAGGTGGGATTTTGCCTCCTTGGGGCGCGTTCTTCATCTAATAATCCTCTTGGTCAGAGAGTTCTTCCTTGTGTCCAACAGAAGTCTCTGCGTGTGCTCCGTAGCTACTGTCTATGTCTCATCTGGCCGATTACACGGCACAGTGCTCAGGGGGGCTGCACAGCACGAGTGTCCTTGCATCCCGCACTGGGTGGCTCGCGGTGCCAGGTACAGGCCTGGCCTGTGTATGTTGTGTGTGGCTTCTTCAGGGAAGAAAAGTTGAAGCTTATTTCCTTGTTCCAATTGGTGAATGTGCCTGGAGAGAGGAGGCAAAGGTTTCCATGGGCAGCAGCACTGGACGGCACACACCGAAGCTGGAAATCCTCCACTCCAGATCATGCTCACCCCAAATATCCCAGTCGGTGACTTGGGAAAGTGGGCATCAGGCCACCCTCAGGCCAACCAGTAATTCTTGATGACTGACGTGTTCTTAAACTGTTGCCCTTTAGAATTTCCCGATAGTCTTCTACTTTTTTCTGAGGCCAGGTTTTAAGTGAACACGTGTGTGTGAGTGTGTGTGTGTGTGTGTGTGAGAGAGAGAGAGAGACAGAATTAGATAGTGAGCCCTCATAGAGGTGTAGAGGTGCATTTGACCCTCTTTTAGAGAATACATGGGAGTTCCCGTGGGCCCGCTGCTGCCTAGGGAACTTTGGGAATGGGAAGTGAACTGTCCATGCTGGTCCTCACAGCCTTTGCACATGGGACTGAAACTGGTACTTTCAGGGTCTATTTGCAGAACTATCCTAACACCTTTGGGAGCCAAGTCGCCAGCCACCCCCAGGCTGTAATCCCTACTTCCTCCAGCCACATGGATGAAAAGTCAGCAACTTCCCTTCTGTTCCTGTGACACATGCTCCAGAGGAGCATGATGTCAGCGTCGACCCTGCAGAAGAGGCCCTGACACCACATTCCCTCACTGCTTCCTTTCTTCCCTCCTGCGGGTGTTCATTCAAGAAGCCTGTCAGATCCTTTCGGGGGTGCAGAAATGGAGAATTGCATTTTATCCGCGGAAATAAAACATGGGGCGAATAATGGCATAAGAAACGCAGCTTAAGGGCTGTGGGGATTTAGAGGAGGGAGAGATTAGTTCTAGTTGGGAGATGTCAAAGAGAGCTTTGTGGAAAGAAGGCATTTGAACTGGAGCTTGAAGGATGCTGAGGATAGCAATGTGCAGATGCGTGGTGAATGGAGCAGAGTGTCAGGTTCAATATGCAGAGAAGTGATGTGGGGCCAGGGAGTGGAGATGCTGAACCTCCGGCTGGCAGAAGAGAGTGTACGGGAAAGGCTCCAAGTCATAGCTGAGCACCTTCCCGGTTCATCCATGGGCTGAGATTTCGGTCTCGTGTCTCACAGCACTGCATCTGACAGCTTTTCGCTGTTATCTTAACACTCATTGAAAGGGAGTCATTTTGGGGAAACAGCACGTTCCTTTGATGAACAGAGGAGAAAGAATCTTGAGACTAAATGTACAAGTAAGAAAATCAGAATGATTCCATTTGGTGCAGGGTAGACTAGATGTCCAGGGAGAACAGGTGGCCCAACTGAGGCAAGGCCCTGAAGAGCCCTGAAAGTTGTGTCAGCTTGGATTGCATTTGGCATGCAGCAGGGGATCGTTGTGAAGTGTACGGCAGGGGAAGGGTGTGATTAGAGCTGGGCTTCAGAAGTATTTACCTGTGGCGGGAAATTAGAGATCTGGAGAGACCGATGGGGTTGCAGGAGGATTTTATTTAATGCGATTACAGGCTCAGTGGAATCGCTTCCTAATTTTGAGCAAAGCACAAGGAAAATGGGGCACCATTTATGCACCTAGTTGGTACAGGATGAGGAAGCCAGAACAAAGAACAGTTAATTAACTTGTGACATGTTTTGTGATGGACTTTACATTTGAAAAGTAACATTTTAAGAAACACATTCCATGGTCTTGAGCCTGTTTGCTTTGTGACCTTGCAGCTGGTGATCAAGAAACACAGGAACTTTTAGATGCCTGGGAACTTTGCTGAGAATGTGGGAAAGATACATAAGGCTAAACGGTTTACAGGGAGGCAGTTTAATATTCTACCTTCGAGCTGGGGAGGTGTTATGTTAAATGGCACACAACATGACAAGATTTACTTTATTACATAACAACTGCAAATTGTAAGGTTTTGTTTTACTATTATTGCTATTATTTAATCCCCGGAGAGCAAGAGACAGCGTCAGTGCCAGGATGTTCCTGGAATATTTCTGGTGAAAGGTAATGACTTTCGGAGGTGGGGGGGCACGGAAATAGGTCACAGAATCATTTCTGTGGCAGAACCAGCAGTGGCATTGTGAAGACCGAATTGCTAACTGGTTCAAGTGGACGTTGTCTGGCTTAGGCATCAATTTCACACTGCAGCCTCCACCGTGAGACTCCTGGCCAGCACCAGGCCAGCACATTCAACGGCCAGGGCAGCTCTGGCACAGAAGCCACCTTCAGAAAGCCTGCAGGGGTGCTGCCTAACAACAGGCTCCTACATGGCTCTTGGGGTGCTTTGTCTCAGATGAAAAATCATAAAGCCATTTTCTCTAGGGCTTTGTGACTTTGATGAGATTCGCCCATGCGGAGTGCAGGTCTGTGGCCTGATGAGCACAGGCCTGTCAGCTAGGAAAATGTTTACATATGTGCAATGTCACTGCATCCTCACAATGACCCTATAGAGCACCGTTGTCCCTTGGTATAACAGGGGGTTGGTTTCAAGACCCCCAAGCATACTACAATTTGAGCACACTAAGTCCTGCAGTTGGCCCCGAAGAGCCCACATATAGGAAAAGTCTGTCCTCCACATACATGGGTTTTGCCTCCAGAGAATACTGGTTTTCTTTTTTTCTTTTTTTGAGACAGAGTCTCTCTGTGTTGCTGAGGCTGGAGTGCAGTGATACAATCTTGGCTCACTGCAACCTCTGCCTCCTGGGTTCAAGCAATTTTCCTGTCTCAGCCTCCCAGGGAAGCTGGGATTACAGGCACCTGCCACTATACCCAGCTAATTTTTGTATTTTTAGTAGAGACAGGGTTTCATCATGTTGACCAGGCTGGTGTAAAACTCCTGACCTCAAGTGATCCACCTGCCTCAGCCTTCCAAAGTGCTGGGATTATAGATGTGAGTCACTGCACTGGCCAAATATTAGATTTTTAATCTGCCTTTGGTTGAAAAAAAAAAATCTGTGAATAAGTAAACTTGTGCAAGTCCAAACCTGTGTTGTTCAGGG